CAATTCCAAAAAGGGGCAATTCCAAAAAGGGGCAATTCCCAGAAAGGGGCAATTCCTGGGAAGGAAAAGGGGCAGTTCCCAGGAAGGGGCAATTCCCAAAAAGGGGCAATTCCCAAAAGGGGGCAGTTTCCTGGAAGGAAAAGGGGCAATTCCCAGGAAGGGGCAATTCCCAAAAAGGAACAATTCCCAAAAAGGGACGATTCCCAAAAAGGGACAATCCCAAAAAGGGACGATCCCAAAAAGGGGCAATTCCCAAAAAGGGGCAATTCCCAAAAAGGGGCAATTCCAAAAAGGAACAATTCCCAAAAAGGGACGATCCCAAAAAGGGGCGATCCCAAAAAGGGGCAATTCCCGGCGTTCCCGCTTACCTGCGGCAGCTCCGGCCGCGGCGCCGCCCGCGCCGGCGTAACCAATGTGCAGACTACTGTACATCCCTTCCCACCTGAACAGGTAGTCTGAACACTGGGAACGCCGGCCCGGCTCTCCCCGTCCCCCGGGTGGGGGGTCCTGGGCTGGTTTTTTGGGGGGGTGGGGGTGTCGCCGTCCCCGGGGCCGTGGCTCTGTCCGGTCCTGACGTGGCAGAGCCCGAATCCCGCCCGGCTCTCCCCGTCCCCGGGGGGCCTGGGCTTGTTTTTTTTTTTTTTTGGGGTGGGGGTGTCGCCGTCCCCGGGGCCGTGGCTTTGTCCGGTCCTGACGTGGCAGAGCCCGAATCCCGCCTGGAAAAAGCTCTGTGGGTTTGTCAGGAAATGGTGTGGGGGGCGGGCTGGGGGGTGGGGGGCCGGCCCCGGGTTCGTGGCCTCTCCACAAAGGCCAACGTCACTTTTTGGGACCATCTGGAGACAAAAGTGGAGCTGGAGCTGCTCTAAACGATTCCAGATGTTGCCGTTGACGGCGGCCCCGGGCTGGAAGAGGCTCCCGGGCTCCTTCCAGAGCATTCCTGGGGAGCTGGGCTGGAGCAGGGTGGGCTCAGGGTGGGGGTCTGGGCCCACCCCACAGCGATCCCTGCTTCCTCCCAGAGCAATTCCCCATCCCAGGCTCCACGGGATGAGCCGGGGAATCTCCCCTTGGGCCTTTTCCAGCCGGAGTTTGGGGTGTGCAGTTCCCAAATTCGGGGTTTGTTCCCCCTCCTTCGCCTTCATCCCTGCTTCCCTGTCGTCCCCTTTCCCAGGAGAAGGAGAAGAAGTACATGCTGCCTTTGGATAATCTGAAAATCAGGGACGTGGAGAAGGGATTCATGTCCACCAAACACATCTTCGCCATCTTCAACACGGAGCAGAGGTGGGGAATCCTCCTGGGCACCTCCTGCTCTTCAGGCATTTCCCCTTCCCTTGCTCCCAGCTCCTCCCGGAGGCTGGGATCCCTCGGGGTGCTTTCTCCAGCATTCCCACCGGGATTTCACGGGGATTTGGGGCTCCCCTGACCCCCCCAAGGCCTCCTCGTCCTGCAGGAACGTGTACAAGGACCTGCGGCAGATCGAGCTGGCCTGCGACTCGCAGGAGGACGTGGACAGCTGGAAAGCCTCCTTCCTGAGGGCGGGGGTTTATCCCGAGAAGGACCAGGTGAATCAGATCCCCACGGGGCTGGGACAGCCCTGGGGGCAGCCAGGAGATGGAGGAGGAGACCCCCAGGGTGCTGCTGGATGGATCCGGGCTGTGGAGTAACCCCAGGATGGGAATGGGGTCAGGACAAGGCTCTGGGATAACCCCAGGATGGGAATGGGGCTGGGAACAGCTCTGGGATTACCCCAGGATGGGAATGGGGATGGGAGCAGCTCTGGAATAACCCCAGGACAGGAATGGGGCTCGGAACAGCTCTGGGATAACCCCAGGATGGGAATGGGGGGGGGAACAGCTCTGGAATTACCCCAGGATGGGAATGGGGATGGGAGCAGCTCTGGAATAACCCCAGGACAGGAATGGGGCTGGGAACAGCTCTGGGATAACCCCAGGATGGGAATGGGGGTGGGAACAGCTCTGGAATTAACCCCAGGACAGGAATGGGGCTGGGAACAGCTCTGGAATAACCCCAGGATGGGAATGGGGCCGGGATGGCCGCGCTGGGGCAGGGGGATCCCCCCTGATCCCCCCTGATCCCAGGGGTGACCTTTCCCTGCTGTTGCAGACGGAGAGCGAGGACGGGGCCCAGGAGAACACCTTCTCCATGGACCCCCAGCTGGAGAGGCAGGTGGAGACCATCCGGAACCTGGTGGATTCCTACGTGGGGATCATCAACAAATCCATCCGGGACCTCATGCCAAAGACCATCATGCACCTCATGATCAACAATGTGAGGGGGGAAAAGGGGGATTGGGAGGGGGAAAGGGGATGGGGAATGGGGAAAAGGGGATGGAGAGGGGGGAAAAGTGGATGGAAAACTGTGGGAGGAGCTGGAGGGGCTCAGCCTGGAAAAGGAGGCTCCAGGGGCACCTCCTGGCTCCTGGCAATTCCCTGGAAGGAGGTTGGAGCCAGCCAGGGGCTGATCCCTCCTCCTGTGTCCCTAATCCTGTCCCTCCTCCCAGAGGGGACAGGACAAGAGGAAAGGGCCTCAAGCTGTGCCAGGAGAGGTTCAGGCTGGGCTTGGGGAAAATTCTGGAAGAGTTTTCCATCCCTGCCACATTGGGGTGTCCCCTCCCTGGAGAACCACGGCGGTGGCACTCAGGGACAGGAACCATGACAGGACCCACCCCAAAAACCCCCAACTCCGCCCAAACCCCCCCTCAGCAGCACATCCCAGCCCTTCCCTCGTGTCCCCCAGACCAAGGATTTCATCCACTCGGAGCTGCTGGCCTTCCTGTACTCGTCGTCGGACCAGAGCAGCCTGATGGAGGAGTCGGCGGAGCAGGCGCAGCGCCGCGACGAGATGCTGCGCATGTACCACGCGCTCAAGGAGGCGCTGGCCATCATCGGCGACATCAGCACCAGCACCGTGTCCACGCCCGTGCCCCCGCCCGTGGACGACACCTGGCTGCAGCCCGGCGCCGGCCACAGGTGGGCTGGGGGGCCGGGGGGGTCCTGCCGGGGGTTGGGTTATCGCTGGCGGTGTCCGTCCCCGCTGACCGGTCTCGTTCAGTGTCCATCCCGCTGACCGTTCCCATCCTGTGTCCATCCTGGTGACCAGTCCTGTTCAGTGTCCATCCCGGTGACCAGTCCTGTCCCGTGTCCATCCCACTGACCATTCCCATCCCGTGTCCATCCCGCTGACCGTTCCCATCCTGTGTCCATCCTGGTGACCAGTCCTGTTCAGTGTCCATCCCGCTACCATTCCCATCCTGTGTCCATCCCACTGACCGTTCCTGTTCCGTTCCCATCCCCACTGACCATTCCCATCCCAATGACCGATCCCATCCTGTGTCCATCCTGGTGACCAGTCCTGTTCAGTGTCCATCCTGGTGACCAATCCTGTCCCATGTCCATCCTGCTGACCGGTCCTGTTCAGTGTCCATCCCACTGACCATTCCCATCCCAATGACCGATCCCATCCTGTGTCCATCCTGGTGACCAGTCCTGTTCAGTGTCCATCCCGCTACCATTCCCATCCTGTGTCCATCCCACTGACCGTTCCTGTTCCGTTCCCATCCCCACTGACCATTCCCATCCCAATGACCGATCCCATCCCGTGTCCATCTCTGCTGGCCAATCCCATCCTGTGTCCATCCCGCTGACCGTTCCCATCCTCTTTCCAGCCCCACTGACCATTCCCATCCCATGTCCATCCCAAATGACCGATTCCATCCCACTGACCGTTCCTGTTCCGTTCCCATCCCCACTGACCATTCCCATCCCAATGACCGATCCCATCCCGTGTCCATCTCTGCTGGCCAATCCCATCCTGTGTCCATCCCGCTGACCGTTCCCATCCTGTGTCCATCCCACTGACCATTCCCATCCTGTGTCCATCCCGCTGACCGTTCCCATCCTGTGTCCATCCCGCTGACCGTTCCCATCCTGTGTTCATCCTGGTGACCATTCCCATCCTGTGTTCATCCCGCTGACCATTCCCATCCTGTGTCCATCCCACTGACCATTCCTGTTCCATTCCCATCCCCACTGACCATTCCCATCCCAATGACCGATCCCATCCTGTGTCCATCCTGGTGACCAGTCCTGTTCAGTGTCCATCCTGGTGACCAATCCTGTCCCATGTCCATCCTGCTGACCGGTCCTGTTCAGTGTCCATCCCACTGACCATTCCCTGACCATTCCCATCCTGTGTCCATCCCGCTGACCGGTCTCGTTCAGTGTCCATTCCGCTGACCATTCCCATCCTGTGTCCATCCCGCTGACCGGTCTCGTTCAGTGTCCATTCCGCTGACCATTCCCATCCTGTGTCCATCCCGCTGACCGGTCTCGTTCAGTGTCCATTCCGCTGACCATTCCCATCCTGTGTCCATCCCACTGACCGTTCCCATCCTGTGTCCATCCCGCTGACCATTCCCATCCTGTGTCCATCCCACTGACCGTTCCTGTTCCGTTCCCATCCCCACTGACCATTCCCATCCCAATGACCGATCCCATCCCGTGTCCATCTCTGCTGGCCAATCCCATCCTGTGTCCATCCCGCTGACCGTTCCCATCCTCTTTCCAGCCCCACTGACCATTCCCATCCCATGTCCATCCCAAATGACCGATTCCATCCCACTGACCGTTCCTGTTCCGTTCCCATCCCCACTGATCATTCCCATCCTGTTCCCATCCCCACTGACCGTTCCCATCCCAAGTGACCGATTCCATCCCGCTGGCCGTTCCCGTTCCATTTCCATCCCCACTGACCAATCCCATCCTGTGTCCATCCCGCTGACCATTCCCATCCTGTTCCCATCCCCACTGACCATTCCCATCCCAAGTGACCTATTCCATCCCGCTGACCGTTCCCATCCTGTGTCCATCCCGCTGACCATTCCCATCCCGTGTCCATCCCAAGTGACCGATTCCATCCCGCTGACCGTTCCCGTTCCATTTCCATCCCGGTCTCACTGGGATCCACTGGGGTCTCACTGGGATCCCCCAGGACCCCCCGTGCCCTCAGCCCCCCCCGTTCCCCCCCACAGGAGGCCCCCGGCGGCCCCGAGCCGCCCGACCATCATCCGCCCGGCCGAGCCCTCCCTGCTGGATTAACCCCGGGATCCGCCGCCCCCCGTGCCGCCGCCGGCGCCCTCGAAACGGGAGAAACGGGGGAGAAACGGGGGAAAACGGGAAAAAAAACCAACCCAGAGCCAGCCCGGAGCTCCTGGGGCTGATCCTGGGGAGATCCCAGGGGTTGATCCTGGATCCCATCCCAGGGGGATCCCAGATCCTGGGGCTGATCCTGGGGAGATCCCAGGGGTTGATCCTGGATCCCATCCCAGGGGGATCCCAGATCCTGGGCTGGGGAGATCCCAGGGGTGATCCTGGATCCCATCCCAGGGGGATCCCAGATCCTGGGGCTGATCCTGGGGAGATCCCAGGGGTTGATCCTGGGGAGATCCCAGGGCTGATCCTGGATCCCATCCCAGGGGGATCCCAGATCCTGGGCTGGGGAGATCCCAGGGGTGATCCTGGATCCCATCCCAGGGGGATCCCAGATCCTGGGGCTGATCCTGGGGAGATCCCAGGGTGGTCCCAGATCCCATCCCAGGCTGATCCCCGCCCCCAGGGTGGGCCCAGATCGCATCCCAGGCTGATCCCCGCCCCCAGGGTGGGCCCAGATCGCATCCCAGGCTGATCCCCGCCCCCAGGGTGGGCCCAGATCGCATCCCAGGCTGATCCCCGCCCCCAGGGTGGGCCCAGATCGCATCCCAGGCTGATCCCCGCCCCCAGGGTGGGCCCAGATCGCATCCCAGGCTGATCCCAGCCCCCAGGGGGGTCCCAGATCCCATCCCAGGCTGGTCCCAGCCCCCAGGGTGGTCCCAGGTCCCCTCCCGGCGGGGGCAGCTCCCGGGCAGGTCCCAGCAGCTGATCCTGGCAGCTCCGGGGCCCCCCCGGTGCCCCCCGGGCCGGGGCAGTGACGGATTTTGGGGGGTGGGGGGCGGGGGGGGGGAACTTTGCACTTTGTCAGAATTCCCGAGGAGGGAGGGCCCGGCCCCGCCTATGCCTTCCTCCCCCCCTTCCTCCTCCTCTTCCTCCTCCTCCTCCTCCCCCGTTCCCGGATTCCGGGGATTCTGCCCCAAACTCGCCCACGGCTCCTCCCCCGCCCCCTCCCCGGGGTCGGGTTTGGGGCTTTTTTTTTGCTTTTTTTTTTTGGTTTTTGGGGTTTTTTTAAAAAGAATTGGGGTTTTTGAGCAGGGGAAAACACTGGAATTCCCAGAGGGATTCGGCAACGATCCCAATTCCCTGAGAACCTCAGGAATTTCATCCCGGGAATTACCCGGGAGAGGAGGAGGAGGTGGAGGAGGGGGAGGGGGAGGAAGCTGCGGCCCCCCCCCCGGGGTGGGGGAGGGGGCTTTGCTCCGGAAGTTTCTCCCCCTCCCCTCCCCCCGTTCCTGATCCCGCTCCGCCGGGAGCCGAGGTTGTAAATATTTTTACAGACTTGTATTAATTGTATAAAAAAAAACCCACAAAAAAAAAGGAGGGAAAAAGAACAAAAAAAAAAACAAAAAAAAAAAACCAAAAAAAACAAAAAAACCAGGAAAAAAAAAAAAAAAAAAAAAAAAAAAAAAAAAAAAAAAACCACAAAAAACACAAAAACCAGGAAAAAAAAAAAAAAAAAGAAAAAAA